AGGCCCCCAGATCCACCCCCCTCCCAGGGGGCAGCTGTGGGGGAGGGTCAAAGAGGAAGTCTGACACAAGAGGGGGGCCGGGGTGCAGTTTGGAGCCATGTGCGCCTGGAGCTGGGGCAGTGGGGGAGGCAGCTGCTTCCATTCCAGCGGGAGGTCTACTCAGGACCGCAACTGGATTGGTTACTGTGCTGCCCTTGACCCCCAAGTCAGCCCACCCCTCCCCTAACAGGAACTTCCCCATGCAGGGCAGGGGCCTCTCGGTGCAGGAGCCAGGCCCTGGGGGCTGTTCACCCTCTTCCCCTTGGAGCGGGGGCAGTTTCCCCACAGAACCTACCACATCCTCCACAATCTCTCTGGCTGCTTGCCAGGGAGAGGGGGCCGCTGGCTGCGCTCGTGGGCCTGGATTGTCTGCTAGGAAGCGAAGGGGGAATCAGCAAGGCCCTGGGCACTGCACAGCCCTGGGGAGAGGCTCCCGCTTGAGCATGCAGGGAGAGGTGCCAGGAGGGTGGCACGGGTGAGGGAGCAGGAGGGTGAGGGGCACGGGAGCGGGGGGAAGGGGCGTGGGAGCAGGAAGGTGGTGGGCACGGAAGCAGGGTGGGAGCAGGGCAGGTAAAGAGGTGCGGGGGAGCAGCGCTGCATAACTGGGGGCAAGAGAGGGGAGGGAATCCAGGCCTCTTCTCTGCCATAGTGATGGGTGAGGCAGCTCTGCCGTCTCTAAGCAACCGGCTCAGGCTCTTGCAGACTGGGGCAGACAGCAAAGCTCCCCCTTGAGTGGCAGAGCCGTCTCCACTCCTGCTCCAGCCGGACACGGTGCCCCCTTTGGCTCCCAGCCCCGGCAGGAAACAGCCTGGACGGGACCCCCTGGAGCCGGCGCGGGCGGGACCTTGCAGCCAGCCGTGGATGGACACGGCGGAAATGCGCTTTGCTCACGTGCTCAACCCGGGCCTGTATCTTTTCCAGCTCTGCCTTGGTTTCCTCCCCTTGCCGGGCGGCCTTGCAGTCCAGGCTGGCTTGGATCACAGCGGGGGCAGGCCCAGCCCAGCTGGTTTCCATGGCAGCAGCCTAGGCAGGAGGCAGCAGAGGGGATGCAGTGGGGGTCTCTGACCCGGCCCTCGTTACCATTTGGCTCCTGGGCGTTGGGGGTTCCCTCAGCCCAGCTCCCAGATTTTCCTTTCCCCCCTGCCCCACACAGCTCGGTCCAGGCTGGTTACAGAGCCGGCCGCGGAGCCGCAGGTGGGGGAGCGCTGCGCCGGGTGGCACAGAGCACTGAATTTGGCCCGCACGCCGCTCAGCCACGCTCTCTGGCCGGCCCTCGTTACCATTTGGCTCCTGGGCGTTGGGGGTTCCCTCAGCCCAGCTCCCAGATTTTCCTTTCCCCCCTGCCCCACACAGCTCGGTCCAGGCTGGTTACAGAGCCGGCCGCGGAGCCGCAGGTGGGGGAGCGCTGCGCCGGGTGGCACAGAGCACTGAATTTGGCCCGCACGCCGCTCAGCCACGCTCTCTGGCACTCCTCGTGTGCACAGCGCCCCGGGGCAGGGGAGCGTC